ATCCCCCAAAGATCATAATGCATTCCTCGGGGTCAGGGAAGCTATCCCCATCCTTGCCCGTCACACCTCCTTTCTTGGCTACCGTCTCTTTGCCATCTCCTTCTTTTGGCCCGCTGGCCTATCGCAGGAAATGTTTGAGGAGCTTGCAGTCTTTGTAGAGGTGTTTGATAGGGTAAGCGTGGTTGGTGCACGGGCTATCCATGAGCTTGTTGAAGTGGTCAGCGCGGTGTCGATCGGTCGGCGCTGATCCTTTTTGTTCTTCTTTCCCCTCTGCGTGGAGGGGCCCTCGTCTTGGTCCTCGCACTTAGCCTTGCCTTTGTCCCAGTCTCCATTGAAGACCGCTCCGACCGCCTCCTCACCGGAGGCGTGGTTCATGGCGACATTGAGCAGGTCGCGGGTGGATGGGGCTTCAGACACCTGAGCTTGTGGATCAGGGACTCACAGGTTGACCCAGAGAGGAATGCGCTGATGATGTCCTCGTCGACGACATCAGAGAGGGAGTTGCATCGTTGGGAGAACCTATGGATGTAATCCCACAGGGACTCGCTGGGCTCCTGCTGGCAGCTCTTGAGGTCCTAGGAGTTACCAGGGCGGACATACGTCCCCTGGAAATTTCTGACGAAGACCCTCTTGAGGTCCGCCCAGTCGTGGATGCTATCGTGCGGGAGGAATTCAAGCCATGCCCGGACATGGGGAGATACTGAATGATGAAAAGGTCATCATCCACCCCTCCGGCTAGGTAGGCAAGCCAAAAATCTTCGAGCCATATATCGGGGTTCGTTTCCCCAGTGTACTTGGCGATGTTGGTGGGCGGTCGGAAGCGCTATGGGAATGGCGCTCTCCATACACGTCGGCCAAAACCCCGTGGTCCCGGGCCTTCTGGGCTAGGACTCCGGTCGTCTGGCCGAAGACCATGCCTGGGGCGCGTTTCACTGCTCCCCTCAATGGTTTGGCCAGGGCCATGTTGCCTGCCCTTACCGCCGCCCGATGGATGCCATCATCATGCCAGGCCTGATGCCGGTTGCTGATGATGCTACGAGCATCTTGGTGCGGACCGAGCCATTCGCGTACCGGCGGTCAGTGTGGAGCAGGCGCCGGGTCGGACCTTGGCGCAGCTACGGCCTCCCATGCCGCGCTTGGTGGCTGTAGCGGTGAGCGGATGGAGCGATCCATCTGGTGCGTCCCTACTCCCCTGGTGGGGAGAGAGGCAGCGAGTTAGAGTCGCGATGCGGAGCTTTCCGCCTATTGAACGGAGGCGGCTTCCACCAGCTCCCGGAGGTTTCGGTGGACCGCCCGCTCCTGGGGTCGACGGGCTCAGGAATGCCGCGCAGAAACATTACCGCAGCGGCGATGTTCTAGCTAGCCCGAGCGAACTGTGGGGGGTCATTCCCCTCGTTCATGATGTCGTGCTGGACCTGGCGGGTGCGACCCCGGGTGCCGCTCGCCGGGTTACGCGCATGGGGGGCAACATGCTGCCCCGAGCGCGTCGGTGCTGGTGGCGGCTAGTTCTACCGCTGTTGTCGTAGCTCCTCGGTGTGCTCTTGTGCGAGCGCGAGGGCCCCCGCACTAGGGTTCGGAGGGGTGTGAGTCTACAAGGACTCCGCTACCACCGGTGGCTATCCCAGGGCGTCTGCCATAGCGCACTCCCGGGTTGGACGGTGGTTAGGTGCCACGTCGCCGATGCTAGAGCCGTCACTCTCAACCTCGTCATATATGAGTTCGTAGAAACAGGTGGGAGCATAGCTCGCCATCCCCACAAATTTGGATGTGAGAGGAGGCGGCGTCAGCATTTTTCGGAGCCCCCGGGCGTATGTGTCCGCGGGGGACGCGAGGCCATAGGGGAACCAGTCGCATGGCGGTCGCGGTGCGGACAATGGGGTCCCCCAGAGAATCGGCGAAAGATAGTAAATAGCGAGTAAATAATAGCATGTACATTACTCACAGCGGGGTTGGAGCAAAGCGTTTGCTCGGAATGAAGCGTAGGCGCCTCATTGTTGAAGTCGTCGGGTGTCCCGGAGCCGATGGAGGGCGCCCCTCCGATGGGCGCTGGAACAAGAGCCTCCTTGTGGAGGTGTAGTACGCCGAGCCAGTCGGTGACGAAGTCCAGGCTTCTGAACGGGAAGGCCTGGGACGGCTCGAAGACGGGTGGAACCCACATCCCAACAAGTGGGAGCGTGGAAAACTCCAGCGAGCCAAAGCGGGTCGTATTTGGCAACAAGTATGTATTGAAAATTGATTTATCAATAAGTGGATATTTAAACTGCAGAAGGAAGATGGTATTTGGCAAGATGTTTTATAAAAAATATCTAAAAAAATAGTGTCGGTGCAGAAAGTGACCAACACGTAAATATTTGTAGTTTTGCTGTACGTTGTGATCGGAGGTGGTCTAGCACTCAATGACACATGGTTTATACTGGTTCAGGCAACGTGCCCTACGTCCAGTTTGAGTCGGTCGGTGACTTTATTCCTGAGCCTAGGTGCTCGAAGTTTGTTGTGGGGTTATAAACGAAAGGGAGAAAGATGGGGGGTACAAGAGGTCCGGTCGGACTCTGGTCTGAAGGGTTGAGATTGACGGGAGCTCCACTATGTGCTAAGTATTCGAGCATGTGCTCTGTGTAGCTTTAGAGTGTCTAAAGCTACAGAGGGTGAATCAATGTAAGTGAACTGAGGGATCTATCTGTTGGGAGAGAGCGCATCACTTTTTATAGATGAAATGGATGGCCTTACAAGTGAGAGAGAGAGTGTACGTATGCTAAGTCTTGTTGCCCACGCCATCGGGTACAAGATAATTGTAGGCACCCATTACACTGTTGATGCTCATAGACATGTGGGGGGAGCCTTACCGTGTTTGTCTGGTATGAGAGTTGATGACGCCCACAACACTGCTTGGGTTCTAACATGTCAGGAAGGTCGCAGGGTTACTGTCCTGCAAGTGTACAGGATATGGTCCTCGGTATTGCGGTTGACTTGAGTGCCCTGCCTTACGTTCTCCGTCCGTTTCCTGGTCCTCACCGAGCGGGCGTCCCCGGTCGGTTAGTTTCAGTTGGCTCTGATTGCGCCTGTCGGAGAAGAGCTGTAAGCAGGGGTTCGACGCATCCCCGGTTTGGAGACTCGGGTCGGAGTCGGAAGTGGTGTTTTGGCTAGGCCGTCCGGTCAGAGAGGCCGTCCGGAGGCGGGCCGGAGTTGGAAGCGAGCGCTGTTGAGGCCTTCCGGTCGGAGAGACGGGCCGGAGTCGGAAGCGGGCGTTGTTCCTTCTCGGCCAGGCCTTCTGGTCGGAGATTGGATCGTCCTTCTGGCCTGTCGTTCAGGTATTTGGGCCGGTCCAGGAGTTGCGCGTCGTTCGTAACGTTGTCCACTGGACCGAGCCTGTGTTGGGAAGCCGGTCCATGAAGGACCCTGGGTTCATGAACCCGACAATTAGTCTTTCCCAAGTAGTTAGAAGGTCAGGCGATTCGCATTTTTCAGTGTTATAGAATTTAGTGAGACGGAAGAATGCAACAGTGGCTAATGTACTAAGTACCTCTCCTCTTAACGTTTCTTTTAGAAGAACGATAGTAGGGAAAAACCTACAGGATTGGCTGAGTCTGATTTCTTTAATTTTACCCGTCAACCTAAATGATAATAAGGATGAGTTCATTTGGCAATTAAGGAAAAATGACATTTGCAATGTATTCCATGTATAGAGATATTATGAAAAAAGAGCGAATCTCGGGGAAGACGGTGTTTTGGAACGCTAAATTACCCCTAAAGATTAAGATCCTTCTATGGTATTTAAAGAAAGTTGTAATACTTATAAAGGATAACCTGTTGAAAAGAGGTTAGAAAGGGGACACGAAATGTGTCTTTTGTGGTATTGAAGAATCGATTCAACATCTGTTTTTGACTGCTATATAGCCAGATTGTTGTGGAATGTGTTGTGCATCACTTTCAAGTTTTGACAGCCTAGAGATATGATCCATTTGTTTGGTTCTTGGCTATTGAGTTTTGATGCATCGATTAGGAATGAAGTAATAGTGGTTTAGCGGTGATGTGTTGGGATCTATGGTTACGTAGAAATGACATAGTTTTTAACAAAATAGACTAACTCTTTCTTGCAGGTCATTTTTAGAGGGACATGTTTCTTGCTGGTCATTTTTATAGGGATATGTTGGATCTGACACTAGTCTCAGTTGTCTAAAGGGGAAGAGAGAATGAATTTGAAGGAGGGATGCAGACGAGTTGATGTCGTGGTGCTCAATTTTTTGGGGGGGGAGATGGAATGGAGACATAGGAGAAGAATTGAGAACTAGGTTCTGGCGAGGCTTTGTGAGAGCATTGTGTTTTTCTTGTTTGTTTGATATTGGGTTGTTTTGAGCCTTGTTTAATGGATTTGGGTCTAAGTGTCCTTGGAATTGTATTGTGTGGCTGTACTCGTTCATTTGTGAATAGGGTAGGCCAGAAACATTTTTGTTCCCTAATTAAAAAAAGATCATGCCATATCAGTAGGTCTTATAAAATAGACTGAAGGTATAGTTTGTTTCACATGGTAAGTTTGGTGTGTTCCTCAAAGTATGAATTGAAATTGAATTATTAAGAGTTCATTTTTCCTATCACTAAAGTATTTATTGAAAATTGAGTTATATATTTCATTTCTTGTTTCTATACTCTTCTCTATTAATAAGATAGGACCATAGGCACACTCTCGTACCCGTTGGTTCAAAAATATTGTGGGGGACGATATATCATGCACGAGCGACAAGATTCAAATATCTGCAGAAAATATAGGAGTACTTGCTTAGTGATTAGAGCGTTCCGTCCATGCGATACACGCTACAGCCAAATGATCCAAGCAAACCCAAGAATGTAAACTACAGCGAGCGAAGCCAGAACTGAAAAATTTCCAGCGGAGCAGCTACCATCTTGTAGCGGTGGACAAGAAGAGCCAAGCAAACAGGGGAACATGCAAGGTCTTGTTGGCTTTGTTATTGAAAGAAAGCTGAAGCCATCACCACCGAGGAAGGCTACATTCCCTGCTCAACCAGGTAGTCGCCCAGCCTTTCCACCACCATGTTGCACTGCCCGGGAGTCATCGGCTCGTCGTAGATGCCAATGATGAGTGCCTGCCCTGTCTTCTTCACAGTGATGCCTCCTGATCCCTGGGGGAAAACAAAACAAGAAACAATTCTAAAGATTTGTGTAACACCACAGAAACGGAGAGGAGCGGCAGCGATGGCCGATGGGCAATCACCTTCTTGCCACGAATGACGGCGCCGGGTTCGCCTTGGATGACCATGTACTTGGTGGGTCCAAGGAAGAGGCCGGTCGGGGCGAGGTGCCCCGGCTCATCGAAATCCTTCATGATGTTGGTCATGTCCTCGGGCTTGAACTGCAGGACGCCACAACAACAAAAATTCACCTGACATGTCAGCGGGATCTATCACGCAAACAATAGCATAACATAATACTAACAGAACAGGGGAATGTGATGGCGGTGACCTCGGGGAACGCGGCGCTCTGAGCCCACACGGCGCCGTCGTGGCCAGCGATGGCCGCCGACGTGAGGTGGTGGCCCTCGATCTCGCACATCAGGTGCTCGTCCACGTACGTCTGCCAAGACATCTTCTTCTCCCGCTGGTCTCGCGCGCACTGGTCGGTCGGTCGCTAGAGGACGGAGAGGGGAGATCGCCGGAGGGCTCTCGTGCTCCTCCTCCCAACTGTTTGTGAGGTGACTGACGGAGAACGAGCTTCTAGCAGCATGTACGGAACGGGTGGCTAAAATAGAGAAGGGGACGGAGGACCGGATCCCGGCCTCGCTGCGGCGGGCCACATGTTCGTCTCCTCGCTTCCCCATGGACTTCGCCATGTTTCGGGGGCTGCTTGCTGACTGCTCTGGCGTTGGCGGGATAACTGAGCGCCCGAGGATGGATATGGCCGGAGCGTCGGAGTCCTGCATGCCACTGCAACCAGAGCAAATCCGAGAGTGTGCTTTTCTCATGACTGCATAAAATTTTACTACTATAATATAAGGATATAAATATGATGAAAATTAGTCATAGTTTTTTTTTTTGCGTGGTGTGCCTGGTGTGCCCACCTTCACTATTCTTTATGTAGATCCGCCCCCTGCAACACACCGACTGATGCAACGGTGAACCAACAAAGTTATTTATTTAATTATTAAACTTGAATGTATTGCAACAGCACGTACAACTTGTCACGCGCACTTATGCCTATCAAACTAAAAATATAAGAGGATAATAGTTGGAAAACACATGGGTGTATAAGAATCTAAAAAATATATTACAAAAGTCAATAGGAAAAAGCCAATCGCGAGACGCCAATAAAACAGTATTTGATTTGAGACAAACAAAAAACAAGAGCTGCAAGAAAAAGAATGTGATCTTTGGACGCCAAAATAAAAGGAAGGAAATCACGTACGTACACAAGTAAACATGAGGACCTGAGTGATGGACCTGCATTTATCGACACGGTGGGATACAAGATATGGTTTTTCCGATTAATACGATTATGAAATTTTACATTATTTTTTTTTATCATCTTAATGATCTCAAATGCAAAAACTCAAAACTATAAATTTGTAGATCTCATTTGACACCATATAGAAAGTATCTCTATTTGACACCATATAAGAAAGATACGACTCTTCTAAAGTGACAAACGCTTATACGCGATTAATACGATGCTGAAACTTTATATATATATTTTTTAAATCTTAACGATTTCAAATGAAGAAACTCAAAAACTAGAGAGTTGTAGATCTCGTCGAGAGCTATAATTTTTATATAAAGATAATCTTCATCCGAGATCGTATGAAAAAAAGATACAATTTTATAGGCTAACTGCCACGTGACAATCTTGCCGCGCACGTGGCAGTCTTGCCGCGCCGCGATGAGCACAGTAGACAAGGCCAAAAGGATTAGTTTTTAAAAAAAAGTTAAGCTGTGTTAGATTTAAAAATAGTGTTAAAAAATTGTACATTTATCGACACAATACCGGGCCTTCTCTGAAATTTCAGTCCTGACATCGAAATGATGGGCCCTACTGGGCCTTCTCAGAAACTGCAGTACTCCCGCAAGGCCCAAGGAAGCCCAGCAAATTGCCCGACAAAATAACGCGAAGCAAGTTTGTGCAGTTGTGCAGAAGCACCCAAAGGATTAACCTGTGAAGTCACGCGTCGAAGTTCGAACAAAGCAAGCACGCCCCCACCACGAAGAGCGTTCAGCATCCGACGTCACGATCATGGACCAACCTGGCCGCGCCCCAACCTAACACGCGGGTGGCCCGGGGTCGCCCTGGTCGACCTCACACCACACTTGACATTCTGCACTCCATCCTGGGAAGAACGGACTAGATACCGAGGAGCATGCTCCGTCGGTGATATGCATGCATGGAAACCGCATGGTTTGGTGGTGGAAAACGCCGAACCTGCCTGCATTTCTAACCGCTGGCGTAGCTCGGCGGCCGCCTCCTCCTTCTCCATGCATGTCGTGTCGAACGAAAAAAGATGGCGTGACCCAAGCACAAGCACGCATCTGATCTGGACTCTGAAACCTCCTCCTCTCCTCTTTCGCTCCTGACGTTTTCCTTCCTCGTTCGTTCTCATCCTCCGCGCTAAAGTCATGGAGAGACAAGGCATTATCGCTGGGATTGAACTGAATCCCATCCCATCCCGCGATGGGGACATGCGCCGCAGAAGCGCCGGGATAGGCCGCACGGGGCTTTTCGAACCATTTGTTCGATGGCTACAGCACAAGTAGCAGCACCTGTCACGTTGCACCAGCTGTCCAGTACTTGGTTGGTAAAAGGCCCGTAGCAGTGTGCTAATGGCTTGCCAAAAGCGGTATATACCGGCTCCTTTTTCTCATTCTTCGCTCGGTGCACCGCGCGCTTATTGGATCGGATCAGATGGTCCAACGCCACGTGCCGCTCACTATCTCTTCGTCGTATCTTCGCTAACGTGCTTCCAAAAAGTCGCTGCAGAATCGAGAGAATGTTTAGAGTGCGTCACGTAAATGTAGAGTGGAAAAAAAACCTATTGCATAATCTGTGGAAAACTACGAATTTTAAGTCTAATTAGTCTACTTTAAACATATTTGCGCCAAAATAAACGTTTTTCGGGATAATCCGGATTCCAAATTCCTACGACTAAACACAGCCTTCGTCGTATCTTCGCTAACGTGCTATGACGAGTCGCTGCAGAATCGACAGGCCTAGACTGCGTCACGTACGGAGTAGGTGGAAGAAACCCTACGAATCTGTCACGGCTCTGAATCATAATAAAAATACTACTTTATTCATATACACGCCACCCCGTTTTTCGGGATAAAGGGGGTGTTTAGTTGGGCAGGCAAATTTTGTATAGTGAAAATTCTCTATTGTAGCATTTCGTTTGTATTTGTGAATTATTGTACAATTATTGACTAACAATTATAAAAAGAATTTCGCTCTAGTACAAAGCTAAAGCAAATTGTGCAATTAATTTTTGATTTGCAAAGTTTAAGCAACTAAACACGCCCACGCGTTTAATGCCTGTGAAATCTTCTTTTTACGAGCGCCAACTTCGATCCAAGAACTAAACAAGCCAGTGTTCCGGATTACGCCATAAGGAGATGCGTCCAGATCCGCGGGCACGTAAGAAAGAGATCGCCGCGAGCGCCAAATCGATCCACGCGCGACACGCCAGTGCTCCGTACGCCACATGGTGATGCGTCCTGCCGTCAGCCACCACCACCAGCCCATGCCGCCGCCGGACGCGGGGAACCTGTGGCGTGGCCGCTGTGTCCGCAGCGCGCGATTTGTTTGGTCGTTTTCCAGCGCAGCGAAGGTTTCATGGAACCTGACCCGGCGTAACCACGCGGTCAGCAGCTGGCGACCGTGTGGTCGCCGGTCTTTAACTATGGCTCACTCGCCAGTGGACGCAAACCGGTCGCAGTCGCAGGTCGTCCGGACCCGTGCGTCCCCATGGACCGGTCGATCGACCGGTCGCTTCCTCTGCCCCCGGCTTGCGCGACGCGTCTGCCGCAGTACGGGCGCAGGTCCAGATCCTACACGTCCATCACTGCTTTGAATTTGAAACCCCGCGGTCACGTCACGCCGGCCGCAAAAGTGGATGAAACGACGCCTGGCACTGGTACAGGGGTACTAGTACATGGCTTTCGGGCCGATCCACAACGCTTGGCTCGGAACACCCGCGACGTGGATAGGCTCACACACAGGGATTAGACGCTCTAACGCCTGACATGACATCGATTAGGTACGCCAAGCGTCGCATGCTGAGTGAGGATCAGGACGGACACTGGATCGATCGGCTCGAGGAGGCCAATGCAAAAAAAAAAAAAAAAAAGCGAGAAAAAAAGGGCCAGCAAGGCAGCAAGCGATCATCATCAGCCAGTCGACAGGCGCGTTTGGGCACAGCGCGGACGACACGAATCGTGCTCGGCGTCGGCGGCGACCCTCATGCCGGCAGGCACGAGAAAGCCTGTCCCTGGTCTCGCTGGCCGGACCCCGTGGCCGTGTCCCCGGAAACGCCGCCGGCGCGGGAGCGCGCGCAGCCGGGGTGTTGAAAAGATTATTCGTCCACCCCCTGCCGGGCCCTGCTGGCTGGCCTACGTGTCGTCTCGCCCCGCGGCGTGTCAGGCTCGCTGGGCTCCGCGCGGGACACGCTCTTGGCGCGTAGCTGCGTCCCGGCGACGCGTGCCCGCTCTTCCAGAACTCGGCACGTCGCCGCCATGCCTGGTGTTCTCCGCCTTTTGTCACCGGGAATGCCACTGTAGTCCGTTCTCCGCTGGGGATGATGGTGTCGGACAACACGTGAGGGCACTGTTGTTCGAGTAAGACTGGTACTGTTTCTCACGGAAAGGAAACCGATGAATTCATGCCGTCCTTGCTTCGAGACCCACAGCAAATGATGCGTTTCGAGGCGTGTTTTGTCACTTGATTGATGTGGTTAGGAGAAAGAAACATGTTTGTTGTTGGACTTTAGTATTACTTCCGCGTGCACGTTTCTGTTAACCTGATATGATGACGGAGCTGAATTGGTCCGTGAACTGTGTGATGCTTATTTCCTCCACTCAAAAAGCTCTAGGTGCTTTTCAGAAAAAGGGTCTTTAGCGCTAGATAGATTACGTGAAAATGACGCCGTGCCTAAAACGCTCATGAACTCTCGTCGATAGATCATGGGAAAATGACGTCGTGCCTAAACATCGAACAACTCTCATGAATCCCGACTCGACCCGAGCCTCATCCTAATTCCTAAGCACAGTACTACTTGTAGTCCCCGTCCCGTCAACCTACTATTTCCTACCGTTGCCATTCTCTTTCTCTGGACGCCTGCTTCTCGGTGACGTGTAAATCTGCCACACCGTAGGAGCGCAATCACCCCAGAACGGAAAATGTATCTTACCGGATCCAGCTATCTAATCGCAACAACCCTAGATCAGACACCACGTGGTACCCGTAAAGCACACATTCCCTGCGAGCTCGGACGGGACGTGGCCACCACGCCGTCACCGCGTCGGCCCCATGCGTGACAGCGTGAGGGCTAATAACCCAAGTGAGTACCCAGCCCACCCTGTCTCTCACTCTCCACGTCTTCACCTGCACTGCACCACAGCACGGTAGCGGTCCAGCGGCATCCCACCACTCCCCAGGGTGCGAACCAAACCGGGGCCCATGCGCGCGATGATGAGGATAAGATCAGAGCCGTGGAGCGGAACAGATTCCCGGGGCGAAAACCCATGTGTGGCAGCGCCGCAGTGGCCGGCCCGACCCAACCCGCCTTTATTAACGCAGACAAACATGGTCCGGCGGCCAACCACCCTCTCGTGTCAGCGTGGGGTCGCAGCCTCGCATGACGACGCGATTCGTGCCATGTATGTACTCGCCGCGACGCGACGGCACCGGCGCGGATGCGAGGGCACGAAAACACGAAGCGCTGCAAGAAAACGCGCGCGTTACCGACCGTGCGTTTCTTTTGGTTTCCGCACCGAATCGCGCACGTTACTCGCAAAGCTGGTAGCGTTGGTCAAACGACGGACGGACGACGGACCGCGTCTGAATCCTGAAAACAAGCGGGCGCGTTATCCCGCCGGGGCGGGGCGCGGCGCGGCTCGGGGCGTTGCCGTCCGCGCCGGGGCCTCTGTATATAAACGTGCACCGCACCAGCGCCGCAGAGGCCGACGCGCAGGCACTCCGTAACGAAGCGGAACGAAACGCAAGCGAGCAGCGTTTCTCCTTGGGACGGGTGAGCTGCTAGCGAGAGCGAGACGGGGTGAGGCAGTGAGGCTTGCCGTTGCAGAGCGACATGAGCTACCGGCTCGGGGACGCGGCGGGCCGCGAGGAGGGGGACGAGGAGCTGTTCGAGACGGCGTCGTCCGTCTCCGGCGGCGAGTCCGACGACGAGGGGGACCAATTCCCCGGCGGCGGCGGCGGCGGCGGCGGCGCCGGCGCGGCCGGGGCCGAGGGCTCGTGCGACCACCAGGACCGCCGCGCGTTCGTGCCGCAGCCGCTGCGGAGGATGAACTCGGACAGCATCTACGACATGACGTCCATGATGTCGCAGCTCCCAGCCAAGTAAGTGCACGCGCGCGCCTACACCTCCCGCCTCCCGGGACCCGGCCGGCCGGCGAAATCACAGCAGGCTCTGAAGCTTTTCATCAACCCATGGTCGTTTTACAGTAGAATAATTTGCTCACGAATCGAGGACTGGTTTTGCAGAAAAGGGCTGTCGCGGTACTACGAGGGCAAGTCGCAGTCGTTCGCGTGCATGTCGGAGGTGCGCTGCCTGGAGGACCTGCGCAAGAAGGACAACCCCTACAAGCAGAAGATCAAGTCGTGCAAGAGCTACGTCGCGCTGGGAGGGATGATGGCCAAGAAGCAGCCCGCCTCCAGCTCCTGCGCCAACCTCGACCTCGTCGCCGCCAACGGGTTCAGGACGCCGCCCATTCGGAACGGGTACCACCAGTAGAGGCAGCAGGGGCTGGCCGCTGGCGAGAGCGCGCTGCAACTGCAGGAACACGTTTTTGTTCCTCGAGGGTCGCTGAACTGTTTTTTTTTCTTCTTTATTTTCTTTTTCTCTTTCTTTCTACTTGTTCTGCGGGTGATTTTCTTCACGGGCGCATTAGTCTGAGAATTTTACGAGCTGGTGTCAACTGTTACTTGTTCTCCTATCGGTAGAGCACTAGAGGAACTTACCGTTGACCGTTCTGCACTGTTGCTGCTCGGCAAAAGAAACTGTTCTTTGGGTACTACTGTAAATACGAAGCACGGCAGTCCAGGGCTCCAGGCATCATGGGCCGTTTCCTTCTTTTGCGCATGTCAATCTTTCAATCTCCTTTTGAAGGTGACCACTCACCAGGATGAGGATAGCATGCTTTAGCTTGCTGATAAGTCATATAGTTACAAAGTACTGTTGGTTGATTTATTATAAGAAAAAAATAATGTTTGTTGGTTAAAAAAGTACGACTTATAAGTCAAGCGAACTGCACGTTAGGCTCCGCTGCGCTCAAGCAAGAACGGCCGCTTGACCTGCTTATCAGCTATGGTCTCGTAACAAAACAGCATCAGGCTGATGTAGAAACCATTAGCCGAATAGTACGATGTATTCTGTTATTCCAAACACATTCAATACTTTCAGATTCATACTTTCATACTGAGGATTCATAATTGGAATTATTTGGGATTCATACTTTCATACTGAGGATTCATAATTGGAATTGTATTTTTTTTTCCAGACAGAATGGAGCACCCTCTCCGCCCTAACTAAAAACAAACCGTAAAAAAGCTAGAGAAGTCATATTTTTCTCAAATTTAATTATATTTATAAAAAATAGTATCAATATTTATATCTCTAAATTAATTCAATATAAAATACTACTTTCATTCGAAATTGCAAGTCATTCTACTATAAAATACTACTTCCATTCAAAATTATAAGTCATTCTGACTTTTCGAGCCAGTACATAGCTAGATAGATATAAGTTATATCTAGATACATTGTAAATATGCATCTTAATAAGGTAGAACGACTTATAATTTAGGATAGAGAGACTATATTATCTAATTTAATAGCACATATGCAGTATTATAAATGGTAGTATTATTTGTTTAAATTGAAAGTTGTTTAGCTTTTTAAAAAGGGACTGCACTTTCTTTAATGGAGAGAGTACATCTTTTTATTACAAGGAAAACATTGACATCAGATATGCACACAGATGACAGATCTCTCGCGCTCTCTACAGCAATACGCAGATCTCCCTATAGCCAAATCTCTCTGGACACCCACAGGCCACATCATACAGTTCTGTCCCTAGGGAATTCCGCAGGCTGTGCAAACTCATGCCGGTAATTACACTCTGCCGATGTACAAAGAGCAAAAAACAGATGCGGAAACCATAGCAGATCCACCTAGCAGGCTCGAACCTCAGTCAAACGGCCAGGTGGTGGCTCGCAGTTGCCAGTAAGCTTCAAGGACCCAAGGAAGCAGGAGAGTTTCCTCATGATGGGCTTGTGGCGAACTACTACTTGCACTTCGACAACGTCCTTCCCGTCATCGGCATAGTTCTCATAGCCCTCTAGATCTTCTTCGGTTATGAAGACTGCATCACTACACCCAGCGGGGCTTATTGGTCTGGACAGCATACTTCGACAGCAAGGTAAAACAAAATGCTCGCTGTCAAACTCGGTGGTGATGTAGCCATCAACTTCAGGGTCTCCAAAGGATGATTCACTGGATTCTTCATCAGATGTTACTGAGTCTTCATTTGAGCTCTGAATTGAAAGACATCTGTTGCTCCACGTGCTCGATAGTTCACTGGATTCCTCATAAGATACTGCTGAGCCGGTTGGGTTTGAGCTCTGTATGGAAAGGCATCTACCATTGAGCTCGCTGAACATTTTAACAGCCTGCAGCAAGAAGTACCATATTTCAGCAACTGGATCATAAAATTGGAGACCAAGTGTCTGAGCAATAACTAGGATAGAATAGATGTGATCATCTCTAATACAAAACTGCCAAGGAAGTCAAGTAGCGTGCCTGCCACTGAGCTGGCGCTAAAAGCACTCTGGGCCTCACAGACCTTGCATGATCCAAAGCTAATTCAGGAGTCATATTTCTGTACTTGATCTGCATTAAATAAGTACGTTAAGTTTATATTAAAATGCACAGTTACGAGACAGCTAAACCAGAAGCAAATCATTTTTTCTTACCAAAAAACACAAAACTATAGTAGTGCTTCGTCCCCTTCCAGCCTTACAGTGGACATAGGTGCTACCACCTTGCATTTCATTACCTGGAAAAAGAGCATATGTTGCCTTGCTGCCTGACTGACACACAAACTGCATAGAAGCAGGCCATATGACACTTTTACTACATACTACTACTATATTGTTACTAAAGCCATGGAGCATTGGTCTTCTGGTACAAGGTTTCTAACTATCTACTATTTATAAACCCTATCATACCAAACAAGGCAACGGCCAAAAAAAAAAACTGAAGGTCCGTTACTATTTCATACTGTGAACAAGCAGTCTTTTAACATCTTGTTATTTGATCCAACCAAGGGCATTTGCTTCTAAGGATTATCACCAGATAACATCACTGGGATAGCATTAATTCAAATAGAAATGCATAGTACAATTGTTATAAAATAATGCCAATGACAACAGTGGTTAGCACAATTTATAAGCTATCTTTCCTGCCCCTTAACTGATTAAAGAACTACCTCTTCTAATCACACCATACGGACATAATGACACTGTTTTACTACATACTACTACTATATTTTTACTAGATAACATCAATGGGATAGCATTAATGTCAAATAGAAATGCATAGTACAAATCTTATAAACTAATACCAATGACAATTGACAACAATGGTTAGCACAGCTTATAAGCTATCTTTCCTGCTCCTTGACTAATTAAAGAACTACCACTTTTAATCACACCATACGGATTAGTTCACAGCATTGTCACATCTGACATGCATCATGATAACTGAAAAAAGACTCCCTCTGTTCCAAATTATAGATTATAGATCACTTTAGCTTTGTCCTAATTCAAATTTCTCTAACTTCGACCAGGTTATAGAAAAATACATTGATGTATGCAGCATAAAATAAGAAAACTATCAAGAAATATTTCATGGTGGATTTAATGAAATGATGTTGGTGCATTTTCCTACAACGCTAAAGTGACCTATAATTTGGAAGGGAGTACAACTTTATAATAGCAATCATAATTCAATTGAAGAATAAGCCTTTACATTCAAGCTGACAAAATGTCCAACAACAGCCAAAGATAATATCAAAGTAACACAGATGACGCATTGCATAAACCGTAGCTGACCACTACAACTACTTGCCTGATCTGAACTGGCACCACTAAAGTAGCAACCTAAAACTGAGATGACATCATCAAGACAAGTTGCCTGATGATGGATTAATGGAGCACACATAAAATTCCAAAAACCCTAAGAAGCAAAAAGAAAATGAAAACATGGTTCAAAACATACTTACAATAGATAAAATCCACTGCCCGACAAATATGCTCCAGGGAGGGGGCAAACAGGTAGTCCCTTGTGGGAATTTCGAGATGATTGATTCCATGAGCCTGAAAAATAGAATTATATGATTATTCAGACATAAGTTGTAAAACCTGCCAGATATGGTATGGTACCATAACACTATCTTGCTTGCTACCTGCCTACCTCTCTATCTCATGTGCACCAGTGCCAACCTAACCAAGTGATTTTGTTGATTGCACAATTCATAAGGAGGCAATGAAATGATGTACATCATCAGAATGCAAAGACGAGGATTTTTTTTTTTTTTTGCCTACTTCTACAATGGCTTAAAAAATAAGTGCCTCCTGAAGCTGGATCTACAGCTTCCCAACTTAAGTGTCAGTAAGTTCACGATGTACATACTTATTAGGTTAGAAATATAACCTGTAGTTCTCTTGGTCAAGTAATAACATTATAAGTTCAGAGACAAATAAAGTTACTCCTGCAGCTACGAGAGGTAAAGGAACATCTACCTGGTATAGGGATGTTGGAACCAGAGTTTCATAGGCTTCATTCAGTGTAACAACACCTCTTACACCAAGTTGCTTTAGGCGCGGAACATCGCTAGAGAACGGAACAGCACCTAGCAAAACATACTGAAGATAGAGGGGGGTTAAGGATATATCAGGCTAAAATGTCTATTGTACATTAAGAAGGAATGACTATTATTATTCCATCACCAATTTAACTGATCAGCTCTTACACCTCAATAATAATAAGACTGCACGTATATTTGATGAAATTTAACCGGGCACACAACGCTAGGCCGCTAGATGTCCCCAAAAACATGTCTCAAAATCGCACCCCCTAAACACTAATAACGAAACCAGAACATAAACTTGGAGACAGGCAAAAGATCAGCACCTTGTCGACGCGATCCCACCAGCGGAACTCGCCATCGAAACGGTTGCGGAGCACGTTGTAGAGAAGCGTCGGATAGAACAGGACCCTCGCGCCGGCGCCGACGAGCGCGCGCTTCGCCCGCAGTCGCACAACCGCGACCACCTCCCCGTCGCCGCCGCCACCCCACGATCCCTCCTCCTCCCGCTCATCGTCCTCCACCTCCAGCCCATCCCGGAGCTCCCGAATCCTCATGCCCGGATCGGAGCCCCAATCCGACCGGCAAACCCTAGGAGCCAACGCGCTCTGCGGCGTCCTCCGGCGCTCCTCGATTTCAGGGAGCGAGATGGAGAGAGGGGAGGGATTTGTGGATCGAGAGAGGATTAATCTACTGGCTTCGAGACGCCAAAATGGGAAGGAAGGGGGGCGGCCGCGGCTCAGCGAACAACCCAGGTGGACGACGGCGACGGGAATAGGTCATAGGTGGCGCGTATTAGGCTGCGTGTTTGCGACAAATCTGATTTCCCATCTGTTTAGCTCTGATCAGCGGATGAGACGATGAG